GCTGCTTCGCTTTCTGTTGGGGAAAGTTTTCCTGGGTCGGAGAGAAACGAAGGCTGGGAGCTGGGATGAAGTGACAAGAGTCTTTTGGGGAATACTCAACGACTTCCACAAAGCCGGAAACTTTGAGGAGAGATACTGTCTCAGGACACGGTGCCAGCCTTACAGAATTCCTGTTCATAATGCGAGTTTTTGTTCTTACTCTCAGAGAACTCTGCTTCAGGAACATGCACGAATGTGCTGCAGGCTTTGCAGTATTAAGTTTCCCTTCAAAACTCCTTATTATTACATATTTGAAAGAAGTCTTCGATATTTCAGTATGTATTTTAGGATATAACAACAAAATTCTTATTTACTTAAAAAAGACTCATGCCCACATCCCCACATAGGAGATAGGTGATTCTAAATTTGTGAGCATAAAATGTTCGAATTACTCTTACCTAGTTGCTAGTATGTATATTTGATATGTATACATTTATATAAAATATTGTAAAATATTTGTATAAAACATATATGCAAATATTCTATAAGCAGACTAATTGAGAATCAGCATAGAGTATATAATATAAAATATTTTGTATGTGAAAGTAACAGGAGAGAATTATTTTTTGCCCATTTTCACTGCAGTGTAGGTAATATAGGTAATGGCCCCTTCAGTATATGTTCTGTGGCTGCTGTGTATAACCTCCTGACATTCTTAGAAAGGAGCTTTGAAGAAAGGTTGGTAAAGTACCCCTCATCTATAATCCATTGGAATAAACTATATCACATCATTGTCCCTCCATGTCTAGTTGTCAAATGAAATATATTTGTTTGTAAAGCAAACGAGCAAAAAGCTTCTCTCGGTATTTACCAATCTCCACTTGAGTTTGTAGAAAAGGGGACCTTGTTGAAGCGAGTTGAGGTCTGATGTAGGCTGGTCCTTGTCGGTAATCCTGACGGGAGGGTGCCTAGCACATCCCACAGTTCATGTGGTGTTTTCCAGGAGATGGCTGCGATCAGTCATCTCACAGATGGTTTGAAAAAGGCTTGTCTTGCTGGCAAGCAAACTGTTATTTAAGTACACAATCCACTCTACTACTGAAACAGTTTCGCCAAACTTATCCAAGTATTCTAACATGCTTAAAGATGGTATAAATATCATTTATTGCTAGCAGTTTTCTTCAGACTATATGGAATGTCTTCCTGCTGCCTGATCTAAGTGTCCCAGTTTACATTATGGCCTTTACTGCCTCTGTTTGATGGAGTGATCAGTAAAAATTTAATGACACTATAAAATAATAAAAATGTCATTAATTTACCACGGATCTTGGATGCAGTGGTTGTAAAGTTACATTAATAAACAGAATATTTTTTACAACAAAAAGCATTGTTACGGGGGAACGTATAAATAACACACATAAATTTAAGAGCAATTTTACTGTTCGCACACACATTATTATGGAATAGCCAATAAGTGTATAAAACATAGTATATAAAATTTTATTAAAATATACTGTGCACATCAAAAATTCAGCTTTTATCTAAGTGCAAAGAAAAGCCATTATTGTGTGCTTACTGTTTCATTGCTGTTCTTTCCCCATATCACAATTTTACATTTGTTGCCAGTAAGAGGAAGTTGATTTTTTTTTTCTTAGATGGAAGCAAGGCTCTGTTCTTTTAGTCACCCCAAACCCATTCTCTTTCTCCACCGATGCAAAAACAAAATTGATCAATCTTGCCATGGTAGAGAGGGAGAAGTTGCTAATTTAATGCAAAGTTAAAAATAATGCCCAAGGAGTTGAATGGTTTGTTCAGTGACTCTGGAAATAAGGGATAATAATGCAGCAGTCTATCTGTCATCAGTGAGGCTGCCCCGTCATTGACTCTGATAATATGTGAAGATGATGGATGCCAGCGTCGTGTGGCTTGTAGCATTGAACATTCATCAGCTCTCACTAAAGGGGGCTTTATCATTTCAATATCTTTACTTAATATGCAACATCTATCTCATACATCATAATTTCAAAGCACTTAGAGAGCCAACAGTCCTACAACACAACAGAGCTGACTTTCAGACTTTAATTTTTTTCAATAACTTTTATGTTGCCTGCATGTTTTGTGACTGACAATGCATAAGTAAGCATCTGATCACATCACTGCATGGAAAATGTACCTTGTGCCGTCAACATGAAGATTGGGGAATGTTCCTGGGGTGGGGGGTGAGATTCAATTAACATCGAGCTATTTTGCTTACATCTCCAAAATATCTTACTCGGGAGACATGTGCATTGTGAGAGCTGGTTCGAGTGGAAAAATCTGGAGTGAAGAATTTGCCTCCCGCTGTCTGTATTTGGATGGATATAGGGGTATACCCATTGGCACTTACTGGCCAGAAGTTGAAGCCTCTTGGAGCTGAAGGATCTCTGAACGAATCTCTGTGCTCATGTCCGCATCCTGTATCTGCTAGGCTCACGTTGCACCTCCCAAGCTTAGCCCAGCTGCCTGGAGCTATCTTGTAGACATCAGGCCCTCTTATCTTATGGTTATGTGGCTGGCAAATAAATATTCTGAGCTATTCTTTGAAGAAGGAAATCTTCTGGGAGACTAGGTAGAAATGTATATGAAAGGGCATGGCTTTGCAGGGTCCTTCTTTAATCTCAAACACAAGTGCTTAATATTACCAAATATAAAAGGCAGCCCACTGCCCAAAACAATTTTTATCATTGATTTATTTTCTGCCTGTTTAACAAGTGTTTCATGGGATATTCTTCCTTGACTTCTACTCTGTCAAAATATTGATATTTTATAAGGAAAATGTCTCTGCAGAAGAATTTTTTTTTCAATGAAGTCAGAAAAATGTATGACTTCAAAGACACTGTGAATGTGTTGTTGAATGTTCTGAATGTTTTTTGTTATGATTAAAAACAAGCTGATAATACTGAATTGTGAGTGCACTTCATTTTTTATAAAAGAAAAGATATTATCATCATGTAAGCTTTGTTGTCTTAGGATTTTACAAACCATGGCATGTAATTTTCCCTCTTCTCCTTCCCTGTCAAAATATTGATATTCTTTCAGGAACTTTATTTTTTTTTACTGAGAATATTTTCCAGTAAAATCAAAGAGAATGAATGACTAGAAAGATACTTGAAATATGCATATTGATAGGTAGCACGGTCTGTTGATTTTCAGAGAAAGTTGTTTTTCCCCCCATGAAAATACAGCTAAAGGTTGTTCTTCCAAGAAGATTGCAGGTGTCACATCAAAACTCCTTTTGCATTTAACATAGGGAAAGCATTCACATGCAAATATTTGAAATGCGAAACAATGTGATAAAACAAAGGTTGAATATTTTGCTTTCCCTGGTACTACTCATCTTCACTTTAATTCTTTTTCTTTACATCATGACAACCAAAAGTGCTACTCCAAAATAGAAATTGGCTGATTAAAAGCAGCTGTCCCACCCCCTCCCCAAACAATGTGTGAAACTCCCACATGGCTTGTGGTTGCTTTCTGTTGTGGCCTGCATCTGGGTTAATTTGTTCTTGTGCAGTGGTGTTTTCACATCAGAAGATATTGGGGAACCATGCCTAATTTGCTTTTTATTTTCATTCTGTTTTTTATAAGTGTCGTATTTCAGAGGTTTGCCCATAGCCCACTATTGTAACTGGTTAGTATTACCCAGTTGGGGAAATTCATGATTATGATTTTGTTGCAAACCTTTCCTAGACATGGTGCTAGATGAAAGCAAGGTTTATGCTGTGTTTTCTTCCAACGCAGATTTCCACATATTCCACGATGAAGGGGGAACTGGAAGACTTCCTGCACAATTTGACTGATGGGAATTAATTATAGAAATATAATGATATTCAAAAATAATCATATTAGAAAGCACAAATGTAGTGGGACTATACAAATGAGACACAGCCTCTATCAAGTAATTGTATGTTTGCTCTTTAAGAATATTTCCAAGTTTCTAAACATCTTACAGAAGAGAACACTCACAGAGTGTTTCCGTCTAATGCCGAACATGCTCAGTACAGAACTAGGTCATTGAACAATAGACCGAACAGCAATCAGCACTCTCCTGCTGCATAATGCATTAAGTATAACATGCAGAAACCATTCCCGGAGCTGGAAGCTGCTATTTCATGTCTGTAAATTCAAGCTGACATGACATTTAATATTGTTTCATAGTAATGAACAACAAGGTTTCATTCATTCATAAGCACCACACAAAGCCAAGTTTGAGTCTGGAGAGTAGCGAGGAGGCGAGAGAAGGGGACACGCGCTGTGTTTTTGCAGACAAGAACACCATCTTAGTGACGGTCAGTGAGCCCTTGGCTACTGATCCAGAGAGCTGCAGAGGGAAAGTTCCATGTGCTATTTCAGGCTCCTCCTAGAAGAGCTGGTTCACAAGCATAGCATCCTTGAGTTTCCCTCCTATAGCGGCAGGAGATTTTCACTTTCCTCGATCAATGGCTGGGCGAGGAGTAATCTCCTTTTTACTTCCTGGGGAAGTTCCAGTGGCAGCTCCCAAGCAGAATAAGAGCATCAGTGCCATCATCTCCTCTGGCTGCTTTGAAACATTTGTTTTTGAAATCCTCTTGCCTAAAATTCTGATTGGTATTTTCCCAAGAACACCAATGCGAACTGTGACCTCTAATTGAGAAAATTCCCCTCCCGTTAACTAGCAGTAGATTTTAATGGGGATTGTTCTTTCATGTTTTGCACTTCAGGCTCAAACCTTTCACTTGCATTCCTTTTAGACTCCTGGAGCAAATCCCAGTGAGAGAAGAAACGCAGTGCTGCCCGGCGGGTTTCCTGACTACAGTTTCCTTTCCTTGCAGGTACTTTGCTTTAGACAAGCGGAACCTTCCTGAGAGCCTTTCTGAACCCACCGTTGGTCAGAAACAATGTTTGTAAATCCAAGTCTTGCCCACAAAAGCGAGATAGAAACTGGAAGGAAAAAAGTGGCTGCTTCGGAAGCTAGAATAAGCCTCTGATTATTCTTTCTCTAGGAAAGAACACGCTTTGAGAATTTGGGGCCCCAGTTAACAGGAAAGTCAAGTGAAGATGGGAAGCTGGGCCCAGGTGTCATCGATCTTACGCGGCCAGAAGATGCAGAGGGTGAGTAGCTTTTCCCTAGCTCTTTTCTGCTGCTCTGGGAGGTTGTGACAGTGCAACAGAGTTAGCTCTAGGGCCCTCTACGGTCTTTCCTGAGACTACCGGCTGCATTTTTTCGGCAAAGCAGAAGAAATGCTAGCCTCCGTTATATACTAGAGCTGAGAATGTTAAAAAGTAGCTAGATTCTATATTACTGAACATACAGCTGTTCAAGGACTTCAAGGTACCACTTTCCAGTTGCTTAATAAAAGGACCCTCTGCATTGCAGTAACAGAATCCTGTGTGTCATCATCCATGTCCCTCAATTCTTGCTAAAAAAGGACTAACGTACAAAGGAGGATTTTTTTTTTAAAACCCTAAATCAAGTGTGTCCCAGGTGCAGCCAAACCATTTTGGGAACTCAGTGATGGTTTGCAGCAGATCCTGCGTAAAATTAATTGCTTGGGCAAGGCCCAGCGTGTGCCAGAGCACTAAGCGTTACTAAAATCTTTGGAAAGTCTGGGTGGAAAGACCAGCTTCACTCTCAGTGGGTTTACCCACAGCACTACAATGCCCGTCCACTTGTCTTCCCTTTTTGTTTGTTTGTTTGTTTTAAATGCACAAGCAGCAAATCAGCAGAAATTGCTCCCCAGAGGCTGGGTGCAATTTATGAGTTAGGTCAGCACTTCAGTAAGTAATGTTGCCTGGTTATTTACTGTGTCCTCACAGAGTAGGGACTGGTTTTCCCGTTAGCTGTTCCTTTGGCAGAGTCCCTCCTACCAGTCAGGGAGGATTAATTTGTTCTCTTCAGAGTAACACAATACTTCAACCAACTTGGGTCCCAGCTGAAGTTCTTTAGCTTGAGGAGAAGAATCTTACCATTATGCTCTTCACTGGCAGAATTGCTTCCAGGACCCTAATCCCCTGAAAACACACGGAGACATTTCATAGCCACATCTGAACTGGGCCTGGCTTCTGTCGAAAGCTTGGGGCCATCTCGGCAGTTCAGCAGTCTGTGGCATGAGCGCTAAAAGATGGACAGTGTCGAACATTAGGAAGCAGGGGCGCCTGGCTGCCTCAGTGGGTTAAAGCCTTTGGCTCAGGTCATGATCTCGGGTTCCTGGGATCAAGCCCTGCATCGGGCTCTCTGCTCAGTGGGGAGCCTGCTTCCCCCCACACCTCTCTCTCTGCCTGCCTCTCTGCCTACTTGTGATCGCTGCCTGTCAAATAAATAAATAAAATCTTAAAAAAAAATTAGGAAGCACTTCAGAGTTTCCAGAAGGCAGATTTTTAAAATACCAAATAGGAGAGACTGATGTTTAATGATAGTTTTGGGGACAAGGTGTTAAATTTTGATTGGTACATATGTGGGGTCTGGGGGAAGGACTGGGAAGAGGAAGAGAAAAGGAGGAGGAGGAAGGGAGGGATAAAGAGGACTCAAAACCGGATATACACTCACTGACTTTTGTAAAGAATGGGTACCAAGAGCACAACTGATATTTTATAGGTGGTTAGAAATACAGGTTTTTTTTTAATGAGAATTGAGGTTCCTTGGTCTAGGGGACCAGTTATTCAGGTCTGACCTGTCTCAATTCTGTGGCAAGGTCATGCCACAGAGTACCCAAGTGTTTGACTGAACACCGTGAAATAATACTTTTCATCACTTTGGAGGTTTCAGTCTGTTCATTTTTCCATAGACTAGGAGGTATAAGGTTCTATCACCTTATCTGTGTTCCAGAAGTTCTCTTAATCTGTCATCCTTCCTTCTTCATTGGGTTTCTTAACTGTATAATGGCTCTACACATGGTCAGTCCCCTCTCAATATGCTAATGTTTTAGTTAATGATAACATGGGCTCAGTAAATTAAAAAGCATGATCAGAGTTACTAACCATTGTGAAAGGAGAAAATGGAAACCTTAACCGTAGGGAAACATATCGTATAGAAATATTTTTGTAAGTTCCATTTGATACCCAGATCATCAAGATTCAGACCAGTTTCCTGGCTACTTTGGTTTCTGTTCTTGTCGTTTGTTCATTAGCAAATATTTTTGAAGCCCTTACCTGCCAGAGACCGTGCTAAGGTTTTACACCTATTTCTTAACATAAACCTTCCACAACTCTGTGAAGTTATTATTTCTTCTCCACTTTCCAGATGAGAATGTTAAAGGTGAGAGAAATCAAGTAACTTGCCACCAGTCACGTAGGGTAGAGCTGGGAGTTGAGAACCCAAGCTCCCGAGCCCCGTGCTTTACTGCAGGCCGTGTAAACACAGATAAATACATGGTGCCTTCACTTTTCTGAACAAACTCCTTGTGACCTTCCTCAATATGACCCATTTCCTCTCCCTAAATATAGCAAGTCATGCCGTACCCCAGCTCTCGTGTTACTCGGTCACACAGAGCAGCAGTGCCTGGTGAGTGTAATAGTAGAAGGGCTGTAGTGGCCCAGGAGCTTAAGGAGCGTGTGAAAACCTCCCTTCAGAAGCTTGCCCAGAGTTGCCATTGAGACCTCATGTGCTTTGGGGGACTGTGAGTTCATGAATGGAGTCAAGTTACTAGCTCTCCGATGGACAGAAGCGCACTGCCTTTGTGAGGACGTCTGGGATGGGCAGCAGCCTTCTGCTGACTTCGGGATATTTCCTGGCATCTGCTCAAGTAAGAGCTGATTGCAAAGCCTGCTGGGGTTACAGTTCCTATTAAAGTCAGAGCAGATAGCAGGTACACATGATACTTCTCTCTACTTCGCTCCTTCGCATTTCCCTTAACAGGAAGAGTAGGCAGGGGCTGCGATAAAAGAATAGCTATGACTTATAAACTCCTTCCGTCAGCTTATGGTCTAAACAAAACAGAAAATAAAACATTACTTAAGTGTCAATCATGTGCCAGAACTAGACACTAGATAAACCAAGGGAAGCAAAACAGATATGTTCCTGACCTCTCGGAGTTTAAAGTCTAGTGAAGGAAGACAGAAATTTGAAAGGGAAATATCTACAGACAGGCAGGCATAATTACCACTGAGAAAAGTCCTAAAAAGATCAAGACTTTGTTGTGCCCCATAGAGATTCAGAGTGAAAGCTACTTAGGTCAGCTCAGTTGGCCGGTGAGTCCTGCAGCTCTAGCCTGGCACATCACCTCTTCTCAATCCACCTGTGATCATCTTCATGTTTCCTCTGGTTTGGCACAGCAATTAAAATGTTTTCCTCAGCTTTGCTGAGGTAGAATTGATGTGTAACAGCATAAATTTCAGATGTACGATGTGATGGTTTGGTACCCATGCATATTAGGAGATGATTACCACAATAAAGTTAGTTAATACATCTATCACCTTACATAATCTCCTCTTTTTTTACGAGAAAATTAAAGATCTACCTTCTTAGCAACTTTCAAGTATATAATGCAATATTGTTAATTATAGTCCCCATGCTGTACCTTAGCACCCCACAGCTTATCCATCTTAAAACTGGATGTTTATATACTCTTTGACTAACTTCTCTCCCTTTTCCACCCTCCCCCTAATTCCTAGAAATCACCATTCTACTCTGTTTCTGAGTTTGCCATTTTTAGATTCCACATGTAAGCGAGACCGTACAGTCTTTCTTGATCTGACTTATTTTACTTTGTAGAATGTCTTCAGGGCCCACCCATGTTGTCGCAAATGGCAGGACTGTCTTCTTGTTTGTGGATGAATAATATTCATCTACGAAACTCCTTCAAGAGTTGTGTGTGTGTGTGTATGTAGATATGTACAAAGTAAAAGAAAATGTGATTGTACACACACACACACACACACACACACACACACTCATCCATCAATGTACACTTAGGTTGTCTCCATGTCTTGGCTATTGTGAATAAGGCACAACAGTCCTCTTAAAGGGCTGTGCTATCCTCCCACTTGCACCCCGTCCTCCTATGAGGCTTCTGAAGACACTGAAGTACGTCAGCTTAGGAGATGAGGGCCCGTTCCAGCTGGGCTTCCCAGGAAAATATCTGCCAGTCGTGAAAATGCCAATATCACTTAGTAAGCAACTTGCGGACCTGCTTCGCAGCTCTGAGCATGGAGGCAGCAAGGGAAAGGTCACCCAAAGAGGCAGCTGTGCATGTGTATTAAACACTCATCAAAATCAAATGACAAAACCATAAGCCAGGAAAACAGAAATTAAAAATATAAAAGGCAAATGCCTTCAAAATTTTATTTTTAAAGTCCAGCTGTTATTTGGCTTGAATATGACAAGACAGCATTTCTTGTTCACCATGATATTTATAAAACTACAAATTCATTGGTGCTGGGGGCTTAGGAAACATGTGTAAGGTCTTGTTATACTTTGAAGCAGTTGAAGGCTTACTGTGTACTGAGCACCCAAACTGTGTTAGCCCCTATGTGGGACATGGAAGGAAGAGAGGACTCGATTAGTCATCTGTCACCATGTATTAAGAAAGATGAACAGCTGTATGGACCCCTCACATGGCATTTCCCCTCTCCTCATCATCCTCCAGCAAGAGTGTGATGCTTTCCCCAACTCTCCTAATTTCAAGGTTGCAAACCAGAGTGGGAAGGGCACTGGTCCAGTTGTTGGGAGGTTTGGATTAAGGCTCTTTTACTAAAGGATGGCAAATGAGTGACTAATGCCTCCTTATCTCTCAAAAGAGAGGTTCTGGATTCCATTACCTCTAAGGCCCCTTCCAATTCCAAGCGTGGATATGGAGTGTGTGCTCCTTATAGGAGAAGTGACCTGGGCACAATAGCTTCCGCTTAGTTTTTTCTCAGAGAAATGAAAGAGGAGACCAGTACCTTTGAGAGGATATTTGTGCCACTTGTTGCATCCCGTTTTCAGGTCCCTTGAACTTTTCTTTTTATTATAGAGACATTCTCTCTGGTAGTAATTTCCAGTTGCCTTTCAGGGATGGGTCCTCCTCTTCTCTTCTCCCAGCAATAGCAGTTGTGGCTTGCCTTCTTCATATTCTTTCTATCCTGTTTCTTCTCTCTCTCACACCTGGGATCTCTAAAGAAAAAAAATTTTTTTT